TTTAGGTTGGCTCGTCAAGCATTTTCTTCCTAGTAGGAAAACCCAACTAAAGTCAGACGATTCTTTGGTAAATATAGAATGATAGCAAGAAAAGCAAAAGCCTTGAAGGATATCATCATCCATACTTGTGGCTTTAACATCCAACCATACATGATGATTTACGTTTCTTAATTTTTAACCAGCTCTCACTTTCCTGAGTTTCATTCTGTGTTCTGAACTACTTCTTGGATTTTACTCCTAGATACCCACTGGCATCACACCTGCAGTGTATCCAACACTGAACTCATCTTGCCCCAACACCTATATATTCCTCAAGCTTAGCAGCCTTTCACTTGCTGTCTTCTTACCTTCTTCATCTTAGTTTTCTCTTAATGCAGGAAGATGGTGATTTCAGACAACTATAGTTTGTTTCTCCCCTTCAAAAGAAAAATCATGTTTATGCTTTAAAAAGAGACAGGCAGGGCCGGCCGAGTGGCACGTTGGTTAAGAGCTGGCTTGGGACGCCAGAGGGCCCCGGTTCGGATCCCACATATGAGGGCCAGTGACACTGCCCTCTACAGCTAAGATGCTGAACAACAGCTCAACCTGGAGCTGGGCAGCTGTGAGTCGCCGGCAACGGCGGAGGCTGCAGGCCCTGTGGCAGTGGGTTGCCATGGGCTACCGTGTATAGCCAGCAGCCAGCATGAGCGGCCAGCAGCCAGCATGAGCGGCCGTCCAGAAGCCAGCAACTGATCTGCCTCGCCCGGGAAGAGCGCAATGATAATGCCAACATGGGTCAGTGAAGCGACGTCCTCCACAACTAGATTGAAGAACAAAAGGACAGCAACTTGTCTGTTCCCCTTCCCCCAATTCCCCAGCACTGTTCCCATCCCCCCAATTCCCCAATAAAAATCTTTTTAAAAAATCTTTAAAAAAAAAAGAGACAGGCAAATCCAACACCCACTGGAAATGTTATGAGCACAATGCTATTTTTGCTCCATTTCACTTTAACTTTGGTAATTATTAGCAAACCAGAACCACTGCTAATTATTTCCACAGGGAAGAAAGGATGAAATCTCCCACTCATCTAGGCAAGACCACACTGATGTTTCCTGCCTGGCTGGGTAGTAACTCACATTGCTCAGAGCTTCTCTCCAGAGCAATGCACATTTCACCCACTGTTACCAGTGGGACTCGCATCTTTTTCAGTCCGCCATGTTAAATCTGGTCACCCATCAAGGCCCACTTGTGGCAACAACTGGCTCAATAACTAATCACAGTAACTCAATAATAATAATTAATTTACTACTCAACACTAGCTCCCCCCCACCCCCCACCCCCATTTCAGCTTCAGGATGATTGTTTGTGTTGGTTTGGTGTGGAAAGAAGGGGAGATAAGTTAAATTTTCCCAATGTAGTTACTTAGTGTGCGTGCACAAGCGTGCGTACACACACACACACACACACACACACACACAGACACACACACAAGTACATGTACACATATACGTATACATGTACGTGTATTATATACTGGCCAAGAAGAGGTAGGAGCCCATGTTCTAGCTGCCAGGTATCAAGGACAGCAAGTTTCTGGCCTTTGGTTTGCCTAGAGCGGAGCTTTTCCACCTGGGCACTACTGACATCTGGAGCTGGATAATTCTTTGTTGCGAGAACTGTCCTGTGATTTGTAGGATGTTTAGCAGCATCCCTGTCCTTGATTCATTCAATACCAGTAGCAATCCCGATCTTCAGTGTGACCATCAGAAATGTCTCCCGATATTGCCAAATGCCTGCTGGACAGGGGTTACAAAATCCACCCCAGCAACCTCCCCGCTCCTCCCTGGGTAAGAATCACTGCTATAGAGGGAAGCAAGGCCCTCCCACCTATCAAACCTCATACATAATGGATTCCCCAAAGAAGAAGAGGCTGAGAATCTCCCTGTCAACATTCATCAGAGGGTAGTCCTCAGATATTTTAATTGGCCCCATAGCAGGCCTCTCAGTGCCCAAACAGCTCCCCCCTCCTCCCTTGCCTAGGCAGGGATCAAGGAGAGTTTAGTCTTAAATAAGTTTAGCTATAAATTAGAGAAGATTTTTGAAAGAGTCATGCCCTGTGTAGCTCGAGACATGGAACTGGGTGGCAGGTAAGTTGGGAGTAACTCACAATTAAAGGTGGTAATGTACAATCAGCAAATTAAAATTAATTCATTTTTTAGAGAATTATGTTAAGAGACCCTGGATTTTCATAAAACACAGAAACAAAAACACAAACAAAGAAAAGCTTGGGACTTAACAATTACAGTAGTGTACCCTCTGAAGCTATGACATGGTATTGAAAATATAAAACAGAATGAAAATCTCTGACAATATACAATTTCACTGGCAACAAATCCCGTTGAAGAAAAGTGGCATTTATTTCAGAGGGAGAGGCGGCCGTGGCCCTGGATACAGACATGATATAGACGCGATCCCTCTGAGTACAGGTGTAGAGAGCCCTGGTGAATCTGCGCAGACCCCGGGGAACTCCGAGCTATCAGGCCCCCCCCCACCCCGGGGCCGGCAGTCTTAGGAACTTGCCTTCATTCACTGGGGCCTCAGCAAAGGCTGTGAAGATCCTGGACGGTGCTGGCAGGGAGCCACGGGAAGGTCTCCAGGCATAACTGAGGAGTGCTGAAGAGCCAAGTTGAGAAAACCAAATTCTCCCTGTTGTCAGGTGAATAACTGTTCTCTTAAAAACCTTCTATGGCTTCACATTTCGCTTAGAAGAAAATGCAAGCTTCTCCCCGCTGGCCGATGAGGCCGTGTCCGATCCAGCCCCAGGCCCCTGCCCTGCGTTCTGCCTGCACTCACTCTCTGTGCGCCGCCCTGGTCTGCCCATTCATTTCCATCACAGAACGCTTGCCTTTCCGCTCCCATTGTCTGGACCAGTCATTGTCCTGATCTTTACCTGACTGGGCCCTTCCCATCATTCAGGTCTTCGCTAAACTGTCACCTCCTTAGAGAGGTCTCCCCGGACAACCCTATCTGAGGTTGTGTCCAGGGCTCTGGGTCTATACTGTGCACATGGATCTCCAGGGAATCCTGTTACAATGCAGACTTGGGCTCAGGGGTTTGGTGTGTGTGCAGGGGGGTGGGGATTTTGCATTTCTAACAAGCTCCCAGGAGATGCAAACCTGCTGCTCCACGGACCACACTTTGAGTAGCAGCACCAGCCTTCAATCGCTGTCACGCTACTGTTCATTTTCTTCATGGTGTTTCTTACACTTTGAAATTATTTATCTGGCTGCATATCATTGGTTGGTTGCTCTATTTGTTTACGAGAAGGTAAATTCCATAAGGGCGGGGACTTTGTCCAGCATTTTCACCTTTGCATCCCAGAACTTAACACAACCCAGCACACTACAGATGCTCCGTAAGTGCCGTTAAATGCATAATGTTGTTCAAGATGCATTGGCTCCTTTACCCTTTCAGGGCCTGCCTACTGCCTGCTTCAGTGGCTGCCCGCTTGTAAACCAGGAGCTAGACGGGAAGGGATGGGGCGGTGCCAGCTACTCAAATGCCAGTCCAGGACCTGCTAGTTACTAGTCCAAGCTGAGATAAGAAACTTGTACTAGAATATAAATCTGCTGTCTCTAAGCACAGTTTTAGTTGAGATGACATGTTCCTCATAGCACAATTTTCCTGATGAAGAAAGCAATGTTTTGCTTTCCCTCTGGTCCACGCTCCTTTCATCTCATGGCAGACTGGTAACAGTGCGTAAACTGGGCCACACAGGAGTGACATATTTTGAGTACCACTAGTATAGAGGACAGAAAGCTTAATAAGAGATATTTTCTAACTTCAAATAACACATAGGTAGGTTAAGAGAAATACACTTTTAAATATATAATTACAAAAATTTTTGTCAAGTGCCATAATAGAAAATTATGTGAGAGACAAGGAACTGACCCCTTCATATGTGTTACCCTTCATATGCCCTCCCAGGACACCAGCACTCCATTTATAATTAATAACCATGAACTTTCCCACACCTGCTCTGCTGAGGTCTAGTTGTGGAGGACGTCGCTTCACTGGCCCATGTTGGTATTATCATTGCGCTCTTCCCGGGTGAGGCAGTTGCTCGCCAGCAGTTGGACGGCCGCTCATGGCAGCTCATGAAAGTGCACGCCTGCTGCCGGCCAGCCCCACTGCAGCCTACGCCCGATGCCGGCAATTCACGGCAGCCCAGCTCCAGGTCGAGCTGTTGTTCACCATCTTAGCTGTAGAGGGCGCAGCGTCACTGGCCCTCATGTGGGATCCAAGGGGGCCCTGCCGCACAGAGCTGGCTCCCAAACCAACTCCTAACCAACGTGCCACTCGGCCGGCCCTGACATGTATTTCTTAACACTTTAAGTAACAAGATAAAGTTATCTTAAATTCAAAGTAGTGAATTGTATTTTGAGACAGAAACAATCATGTGGCATCATCTCTCTGTGATTTCTATTAGTGCCACATATAGCTAACACTGCTAAGATTGGTTACCTGCATTCTTGATGGAAAAAACAACACCTAAATGTCTGTTAGAGGTAACGCAAACCGTTAGCCCACATACCCCGTTAAGAAGACCTTGGGAGCTGGAACCTGGGTTTGTTCATTTTTGCATCTGCAGACTCGGCCACAGGTCTGGACACCTACTGCTTGTTCCTTGAGTCATTGCTATAATTTAAACGGACGACATATAACTTAAAAGATAGAAATTTCAAAACTAATTTCTCCACAGCAACCCCTCTGAGCTTAAAGCATCTATAGTGGAAAGCCTTGCTCTAGGCAAGTCTCTGGCCTAGGCTAAACTCACGCTGCCGGCCCTGCCTTAGTGAGAAGGGAGCCTGGCCAGGAGGGGCGGGCCCAGAGCGCGGCGCTTGCGCTTATAGGCCGAGGCGGGAGGGGGCGGGACCCGCGCCTTTGTGAATGACGGAAGCTCTTGCTCGTCAACAAGCGCTTCGCCTCCGAGCGCCCGGAAATCCCGCCTTCGGGACAGGAAGTAGTGGCGTGTGAGAGCGCCGGCTGTGACCGCGGAGACAGCGGTGACCTAGCGAGTGGGAAGCGGTGGCGGCGAGTAGCTGCTGCTGCTCTGGGGCAGAGTTGGCGGTTAGAGGCGGGGCCGGCCACCCAGAGCAGCCCGGATCTGGAGTCAGGTGCGAAGGGGAGGGCTGGCTGAGGCCGCTGGGGGCTGGGGTCCCGGGGCTGCGGACTCGCGGGGGCCGTGAGAGAAAGACTGGCTGCTTCCTGCCCTCTGCCGTCCTTTCCTTCCTTCTCTTCGTTTCTCCAATCCCTTTTCTGCGCGGTACCCTTCCCAGGTCCCCAACCCCTCACTCAGCCCCAGGACCGGGGGGGGGGTCTAATCTGGACTCAGTGGGCCTCCTCTGTCCCATCGTATCACCACCCTGGGTCCCCCGTCCCGCCTCCAGACCTAACCCCCTCGCTGTGACGTGGCTTCTCAGGGACCTCCTCACGCCACCCCGAAATCCTCACATTCTTAGAAACGTGCCCCCAAAGGGTGGTGTAGGTTTCATATTGTGTTTTCCAAAGGGGATATAACATATTAAAGCTGTCCCTCGAAGTGGATACCGCGGCCTGTAGATGTACGGAAGGATGCCAAGGAGGAAGAACAAGGGCTGGCTAGAGGAAGAACACCGAGGGAGTAGTCAGAGCCCAGGCATCAGCGCTAACCTCTCTCTGCTTTGGCACGTGTGAATTTAGAGTTGTTTGGATTCGACACCCGTCCAACCATGGGTTTGTCTGCATCTACCCCTGCTGTTGCAGTTCAGACCGCAAATGCTTCAGATCATCAGACAACACCCCCACCTTCTGGATGTCCAATGCATCAAGGGAAAATGCAAGGTAATTGACCCTTTGTCTAGAAAATAAAAACAAAAGAGCATTCTGAAAACGGTTGTCAGGACGAGGCGGCGCGGCATGCTGGTGAGGCTCCTAAGCCTGGGGACAGCTGTACAGGGTCCTGTGGAATGAGGGTCGGGAAGGAGCAGCAGAGGGAAGCAAGTGAAAGGAAACGTGTCTTTTTCGTGTAGGGCACCCAGGACCCAGTGCGTTCCTGGTGTTGCTGCTGCCGAAGACAAGGGTTCCATTACACAAGCCCCTTTTCCGGGGCCAAAGGTCTCCTGACACCTGCCCTCCCTCCTGAGCCGTAGACCAGCTTCCCAGTGTGCACACTTGCTCCCATCAGCACCCTGGGTCCTGGGGCATTGACCACCCTTCCCGCTGCTGCTTTCATACTTCAGACCTTCCCTCTTAAGTGACATCTGGATCCTGCATGGATGTGGGATGTCTTCTTTAATGTCTGCTTTTTCGTACCAAACTCTTGCTGTCTACTGATAGGGAATAGAACCTGAGCCAAGTGGTAGTTTTCGGTGCCTTGTCCTGGAGCAGAGCACAAGCAGGGGGGCCTTGAGACTTCTCCAGTCGCCTTTTTGAGGGTTCCTCTGCTCATCTTTATCTCCTGTCCCCTGTGCCTGAGAGAAGGCATGAGTAATGAAAGCCTGGCTTCCTGGGTCCTGACTGGGGCTGGGCCTTGTCTGGAGCTTGGGCCTAGAAAGTCAGGAACACTGGGGAAATGTGGTCCGGCCCCCACTTAGGTTCCCCTGCAGCAGCTCCTGGCTGGGAGTCCAGGCAGGTACCTTCCAGCCCATTACTGAAACCATGGCATGGACAACACATTCTCTTGCAAATGCTGCAAATGTTGTGGTTTGTTTTTGCTAGGGGCATGACACAATAAGAGAACAGGTACCTGTTTCTCTTTCAAAGGGAAAGTAAATGTGTAGAACCTTCTCCTGGTCTTCAGGCTATTAGAATGTTAGCCAGCTTATCCCTTGGCAGCTTTCAACAGTAGAAACCCAGCTTTGCCTGTGATCATCACTGGTCAGAAATTCACCTCTTTAGGGCCCAGATTGAGAGAACCCGATAGCCTGCCTTTGTGCTGACACTGTTTCTATACTTGGTTTATTTCAGGCTGTCCAGTGAGTACAGAGCCATCCGACCCATCCTGTGACAGCAAAACCAACTCTGTGCCTGTCCACCAAGAACGTGCATATGAGTACGTGGAGTGTCCTGTTACAGGCTCGGTGGCTGGAAATAAGGAGAAGCTAGATCCTTCTAACCTGGTAATCCACGTTCAGCCCCTCTTCCTGGAGCATTTTATTCAGAGATGCTTTTATGGAATCCCGAGATAGATTGCAGACTCCTAGGGTTGATTCTTCTGTTCTTTAAAGCACAGAAATCTGATAGTCCATCCACAGTGAAAATCTAGAATGTGATACGAAGCGTAGTGTCAGAGAACGCCCGAGAAAGAAAATGGTGATCACAAAATGCCAGGGTAGGTTGACCCGGAGAAAGCTGTGCCAAAGGGACCTTTCCTTTTGGGAGAGTTACTAGGTGGTAGGTGGGAAGTTCCCTTACGAATACAGCTAGCGTTAGTAGAGGTGCTTCTGGTCCTGCAAGCTTGAGGGCCTCTTCAGGTACATGAGCCCTTTGGAGCCCTGCACACCTCAATTCATACCCCATGAGACTTACGTGCAGGGAGAAGATGAACAACAGTGAACTTGTCTTTTGCTCACATCTTTTGGGGTATGCTAAGCCCTGTGAGCTCTCCCCTGTAATCCTTATCACAACTCTATACGGCCAGCAGCCTTAATGTCCCCATTTTAGGGCTGAAGACCCTGAGAGTGAGAGAGTAAACAATTTGTCCCACATCACTCAGCTAGGAAGTGGCAGAGCCCAGACCAAATCCCCACCTACCCGCCATCTGTTCTCCAACATGCTGTGGTGACAGTGCAGGTAAAATGCTCAGTGTGGCGCCAGCACACCCAGCTCTTTTGCTGTCATCTTTCTAACCAGGGGCCGTGTTGTGACTTAATCCTTCATGTGTACCCGCTAGAAAATCCTTCATACCTTCACCACGAACAGAAGTTCTAGGCCCATGGTTCTCATCCTGGGGTGATTTTGCCCCTGGGGGGGACATTGGGTGTCACAACTGGAGAAGAGGGGTACTATTGGGTAGAGGCCAGGGATGGTGCTAAATAGCGTACAGTACTCAGAAGAGACCCCCATAACCAAATGTTGTCCACTCCCAAATGTCAATAGCACCAAGAGTGAAAAACCCTGGTCCAGACCAAGCGTTTGCTGCCCCTTGTGTCTGAGAGAAAGCATTCTTCCCCTTCCTCCAGTCCGCCATTGTGGGGACGTCAGCGCTCATCTGTAATGCATTCAGCCCAAAGGTTGAAAACGTAAGCGAGATCCTAAAAGTAAAGAATATTTAAAAGCGAAGTGGTGTCATACATAGATCCTGTGAGACTTTCCCTCAGAAGGGTCAGCAGTTTTTTTTGAAAAGCTTATTATAGAAAGGGTTTTAGAAATGCCCACAGATAATGGTATTAGTTTTTGCTCCTCAATCCTTGAGAAGACCGAAACTGTAACCACAACATGTATTGACCATTTATGAGAACTTTCAGTACTCTGACGCTTCACGTCAGCCAAATGATTGGAGAGGTCTGCAGTTTTGATGTTGCTGGTTTACTAGAGAATCTGTGTCACGTGTGTGATGCATTGCTTTCCAGGAAGTAGTTAATCCTATTGCTTGTTTTACTTACTAGCATATTTCCAGTATTTTTTACAAATCCGCTGATTGTATTTAGATGCCGCCACCCAATCAGATACCGGCCCCTGATCAGCCATTTGCACTGTCTACTGCGAGGGAGGAGTCATCCATTCCAAGAGCAGATTCTGAGAGAAAGTGGGTTTATCCTTCTGAGCAGATGTTCTGGAATGCGATGTTAAAGAAAGGGTAAGTGAGTGAGCCTTACTGAGAATATAAATGTTCTCGTTAAAATTCATCTCAGAATAAAATGTGAAAGGTGTGTGTCCCCAAAACGTATAGTAAGTTTTAATAAGTTAATCACTATAATAATTTACAGACTTATCAGAAGATAAGTGCAAGGCCAGGGTATTGCCAGAGTTTTCCAGAGAGAGAACTAGCAGGACGTGGGTCTGTATATACACACGTCATGAATGTCCGTCACATCTCACCAAATGTTCTTTCCTAGGTGGAAGTGGAAGGATGATGATATTAGTCAGAAGGACATGTACAATATCATTAGAATTCACAATCAGAATAATGAGCAGGCTTGGAAGGAGATTTTGAAGTGGGAAGCGCTTCATGCCGCGTAAGTATGTCTGAGATCTTAGGAAACACCCTCCCGGCATCTCCCTTTATATCTGCCTTCTAGACTTTTCACACGTATCCAGATGTGTTCTTTAATGAAACATTTTAGGCAGCAGGCCTGTCCCAGTGACTATGGGTGGCAGACCACCCCCACTCAGCTGTGTAAAATGGCAACCCTTTCATTATGCTCGTGGATTCCATGGGGCCCGGGTGCAGAAAAGGAGGAGTGGGGATGGCTTGGCTCTGCTCCCCAATGTGTGGGGCCTCAGCCGCCAAGACTCAGTGGTCGGGGTTGGCTTGACAGCCGCGGGCTGGAATCCTCTGAAGGCCCCATTTACTCAAGAGTGACGCCAGTTGTCGGCCATGACACCTGCCTGTGGCCTCTAAGTGTCGCTGCCTCGGCTTCCTCACACCATGGCGGCTGGGTTCCCATTGCTGGTGTTCCAGAAAGCTCCAGGTGGAAGCTGCGTCTCCTTTGATGACCTAGCCTCCGAAGCCCCAGAGCATCACCAGCCTGCCCAGACTCCAGGGGAGGGCTCAGAGACCCCCACCTCTCAATGGGAGGCGTGTCATAGTCCATTGAAGGCAGAGCATGTGGGACGGGAGACACTGAAGGTCTCCCTGCCCTAAGGGAGAGAGGGAAGATGACTGTTTTGTTCCCTCAGCAGCACTTCCTGAATCCAGACGTGCCTCAGCACATGGCTTTTTCTTGGGGAGAAGGCTGACTGTGAGCTCCAGGAGTGCAGGGCTTGGTGGCTCTTATGGGGTGCCGCTGGCTCCCCAGTGCCGGAGAGCAGGCTGATTGGCACCGAGGAAGTCCCCACCAAGTGTGTCCTTACCAAGGGTCTGCAAGTGTGCAGACTTTCTAGCCGGGACCTGGCCACCCGTCAGCTGGTCCAACACTAATGACGTTAGTTCCTAGGGCTGCACCCCGCAGTTTTTTCCTTCATGAAGGCGTTAATGGGTTTCAGATGGAAGAAGAGGGTAGCATTTTCTTAAGTTTATTGTACAAAACCCCAGCTGCTCTATGTGCAAGACAAGTGTGAGGCAGTTCTTCACCCTTTTTTCCTGAGAATACGCCTGCGTTCCTGCACCAAATGGAAAGGCCCTGTTTGCGGACCCCTGGAGCAGAAGGAAGTAGAGGGAGGGGACCATGCCTGAGCCAGAATTAAAGAGCAGCATTTTTAACAGAGAGCTATTTCTTTGAAGTTTTTCAAAGTTACCTTTCTCTGTAAATGTGATATGTAAAGTGCACGCAGAAAAATGTATATTATTGAGAAACTGCAAGGTCATATTTTCAAAGGGAAGAAAATATTTTCATAGATGTTTCTTATTTGGGGATTTCTAGGGAGTGTCCTTGTGGTCCCTCGCTGGTCCGGTTTGGAGGTAAAGCGAAAGAGTATTCGCCACGAGCAAGGATCCGGTCCTGGATGGGGTGAGTCGGTGCGGAAAGGTGATGCACACTCCTTGCATCACGGTCAGCTGACCCTTGGTCCCCAAAGCAAACAGTCAGCGAACTTCTAAAACTCAGCCTTCAGCTGTAGATTTCTTCCTCTCCTGGAAGGTTGCCCCGTGGTGGGCAGATCCGCCTCGGTTTTGTGGGTTGCTTCTTATCTAACTGTCCTGGGAGGGAACCGAGTTGTCCTCTGGGCTCTTGCCTCTGTCCCTGTACTCCTCCTATGATCCATCTCTTTGGATCTCTGTGCTCAGCACTCCACCCTTTTCTTCCAGTAGCCAGGGCCCCAGCTGCCCCTGGCAGGCCGCTTTCCCATGGACCTTACTCCTTTGTAGACAGGTGAGCTGCCGTGTGATCACACAGCTTCAGCACTACCTGACTTGGGTGCGGGGACTGTGACGCTGAGTCCTCACCTCCCCAGCTCCATGTCTGACCGAGAGCAGGCCTTACTCTGCACTGCTTCTCTAGAGCTGGAGGCCCCGCCTGCGGGTTAACGCTCACCGGCACACTCTCATTCCAGGTACGAGCTGCCTTTCGACAGGCATGACTGGATCGTCAACCGCTGCGGGACGGAAGTGAGATACGTCATCGACTACTACGACGGCGGTGAAGTCAACCAGGACTACCAGTTCACCATCCTGGACGTCAGGCCCGCTTTCGATTCGCTTTCGGCGGTGTGGGACAGAATGAAGGTCGCCTGGTGGCGCTGGACCTCGTAACCACTGCTTGTTAGCCATGGGAAAATATAAACTATTTTTTTTTCTGAACGATGTATTAAACTATTTTCCCCAAACTGAACTGCACTCATGATATACTGGGAAGGTCAAGTGGGTAATGACACCTTACATTTCACTTAGCAATGGGTGGCGTGCAGGTGCTCACCCTGCCGTTCATAGAAGATCATTTTAAATTTCCAAGTGGGAAGCAGTCCCTTAGTTTTCCCTTTAACTGCAGAGTTGCCTGTGTATTTAATTTAGAAGAGTCAGGACAACCTCTGAAAAAGAACTCGCCTTGAAATTTGAAGGCAGCTGCTTTTTTTTGTCACTGTTTTCTCTGGCATACTTGCCGTGCAGACCTGAAGGTCCATGTGATGCTGAGGAGCGTTGACCTGGTCAGACATTTAATGAGAGCTGTTCAGGTATGATTTTAAGAGTTACCAGCATTGCTAAAGCCCCTATGATATCGTAGTGACCCCTGAAGAAATCACACAGGTTTACACTGGAATTGCACTCGGCAAAACTAAGATATGTCTTACCTCTCCAAATCCTCAAGAATTTTTAAGACTGGACCTTGTTATAGAATAGTTTCAACTCCCTCATGGTTTGATGGTGCATTCGCATTAGAATGTGTGTTTTAAATATTTTCATTTTAGTTTCCATTATTCTGACATGTAACTGCTCCCTGCAAGCAGGTCCCGTTGTCGCTGGCCCGTGACAAGTTATCCTGCTTCTGAGCCCCATTCCTTCTGCCTGAAGCCTTCCTGGCACTTGCCCTAATCTGAACCTTGATGGTCTGGCTCATGTCGCATGTGAGGGACGGTCCCTCTCTAAAACATGATTATATTTAGTTGAGTGTTAGAATTCACAAGGAGAGTATTTTTCCCAGATGTAGAATGTTTGCATCAACTCACTGTCTAAGTTCAGACATTTTAAAAGGGAGCTCTAAGTTTGCCATTGAAATTCTTGGCACCAGTAATCCATAAAGTGGTTGTTCTACTTAGAGCAGCATGTTACAAATGACTGTTGGGTTTTTAAAAGTGTGGATAATATTCATTTATTCTAAATACTGTAGTGTTAAATTAGTAAATGGAATTAGCAGTCTGGAATGATGAATTTGGTTTGAATTTCTTTGTTGTGACAGCTTGGCGTGGAGTTTGAAAAATCCAACAACCTTAAACTCTTCTACATTTCAAAATAATTGCATATTTTAAAATGAAATAAAGCTGATAGTTAACAGGTTTTGAAAATCTCGCGAGTAACTTTACATTTAATCATTTCTTCAGACAGGAGTAATCTTTACAGAAGTAATGCCAGTCTCCCTGTGAGAGGCAGCCATCTTGTCATCTGCTAATCACATGTTCTGCTACTACAGGCCGACCTCAGAGATATTTTGGGTTCTGTTCCAGCCACTGCAGTAAATCAAGTGTCGCAATAAAGCGAGTCATAATCTTTTCACTGGGGGAGGGTCTTCAATTTGTAAAAAACAACACCTGTGAAGCACAATAAAACAAGGTATGCCTGTACTGAGGAAAATCATTACTGTTGGCATTTTTTTGGTCCTAAGTGCTATTGAGTAAGTACAGGATAAGGCATTATTATGAGAAACAAAGTGTAACTGGGAACAACATTCAGCCATGGGCAGGCACCCCTTTTACTAGGCTATAGTGTTTCTTGACAAAAACCTCTAAAGTAAACTGTCAACGCAAACCTGATGACAAGATCAACAGTTTATAGTTCCTTCCAGCACCCCTGGAAAAGACGACAGCCTACTGGGTTTCCGAGCTGCTTTGTGTAGATTATACATGAACATATCCTGGGATCAGTGCTCTGCTGTGATAGGAGGCTTCATTTAGAACGTGAAATTCGTTCTGGATAGTCTCCGGGGTTTCAAATGCAGTCTTGTCTATGGAAATGGCACTACTGAGAATCAGAACAGACTACATTAGCTTAAGTATTGGGTCGTCGGGACAGTCATGACGCATTTTTGCATTGAAAAACAAAAATACGTCATGACTTCCCCAATGACCCAATGTCAGCAAACAAGGCGGGGATTCAAACTGGGATTGCATATTAACATGGAGTATTCCTAGTGTTTCCCTAGCTAACGTCCATTTCCTCAGTGTTTGCGCACCCTGCATCACTGGGGGTGCAGAAATGCGAAAGGTGCAGCCTACCTGCAGGGCCCTCAGTCCTACAGAGGACAGTTTGAATGAAATGGATAAGTGCTAGAATTCCAATTTAAAGACTGCCTTGTCACAGGGGAGGGCAATTCCCTCAAATATTTTTTAATATATAGTAGCCAGTTTCTATACTTAAGTCACCAATATGGCTTATCCTTTACCAGAGTTATTCCTTGCCAGGCCTCACCTGTGCAGTGACTGGGACTCGTACTATGGACCATTGTGTCTTCATGGCTTGAAGCCATGTGTGGTGATCAAGAATGCTCGTCCTCAAAAAGATACCAGCAGCCTGGGCAGCCATGAGTCGCCGGCGACGGCGTAGGCTGCAGCCCCTGTGGCAGTGGGTTGCCATGGGCTACCGT